GCATGTGGCAGTCCTTCAAGCCTAAAAGAACCTAATGCTGTCAGGCACCACAACCCCGACAATGGCATAGCGAGGTTGTGATGATGCGATACTTCGCTCATAATCCGCTACGTGATGTCCGGTTTTTTAACAGACCTTACCGTTAAAGCGTCTAAAAGTCCATTACACGGAAAACAGTTTTCCACTCGTGTGCCATAATCAATGAAGTTGATTTGTTTGATTGTGCTTTTGTCATGGCGACAGAAGCAACATTGGAGTCGCTACGAGGCAGTTTCTAAGGCTACTCGAAAGTTGACCGGCCAGTTGGACTGTAGGTGCAAACCAATTCCGCACAAGCATGTGTGTGCGCACCCAACATGCGGATGGAGGCCTATCGCCCAGATCTCAAATCCCTAATCAGTTTCGCGCGACACAAACCAAGCGAAGTGGCTGCTACTGGGCATAACTGAATTAGCCACACAACATCGGCGTTTCGATCGGCGCATTGTAAAATTTGATGGAGAGGCGCGCCCACAGATTTACTGCGGATACCAGTTCAATGTGGCAATTCGAGTAACAGTCATAGACAATGCAGCAAACTGCTTATTGTTGCGTGTTTGAAGTAAGTCAATTATCCACAAATTTACTGCCTGTGCCCTATATATCTAACCGGTTTCAATCACTTGTATGTCGCAGTGTGACATGACTTTGTCACGCGGCGTTACGTACACTTTCAGCTGTGAAATCTATGGATATGCAAAGCATTCATTCCAATTCAAAACGCAACAAAAACGCTGCAACCGTCAGAAATGAAATCAGACAAAAGTGAATAGCGTTCTGGGTGCAAATGGAATCGAATGAGATCAAAAACAACTTGCAGTTTTCGAACTTTGGATTCCTATGTGCACATGGAAATGGCTGGAGAAACTCCTATGCTTTCACGTATCTAGCGGGACTTACGAGAAATCCAAAGTTTAGACTGCAGCATATTTGTTTGCTACGTTATGGTGGTTTGTGGACTCGCAATGCGTCCACATGGTAGTGTATGATCTAGCTTGGAAAAGAATGGTAAAACTTTTGAGTTTCCTTGTAGCACACGCTTAATTTCTATATTGTTTCCAAAAACGAACACAAAGCAATCTTACTGTGCTTGAATCTCTTCGTGCACAGGGAATTTGTTTCATATAAGGTTGGGTGCCCCATAGTCTACATTCTGGCGAAAGTGCTCGGTTCTTATGGTCCTTCACCTATCTGCCCTGTGCATTTGATGGACAAGGCCAGAAAGTTGCTCTAGGACAAGGCGAATTTGACTATCAGTTACTGGTGGGGCTTATCAAGTTGCTGCGCACATCGAGGATGGCAATGATTAGGATTGTGTAAGATACATCAGCAAACATGCTGCCACCTTCATCTACAGTCTAGTACAAAGTTATACGCACAGTTTGCCTGGCCTTGGGTCTGAATCCGTACGGATTCTAAGGAAATACGTGCTGTTGATAAACGTCGGTTAGACGAAATGGCTACTAAGTGCCCATTCGGATGCGTGGTGGCTATATGACTCAGTCTAATCGCGGTGAACATGCTCGATATTCCAGAATCATCCGGAAGAAGATGTATTACTCTTGTTCCACCAGGTTCTTCTCCCTTGATCAACAGTCCAGATTCAAGATGTAGCACCTTGCTCTCAGCTACAGAACTTCTTCTAGGACGCCCAGCTTATGTACTAGCGTAAACAAACTCGTAGTAAGTTGGAGGGCTTTGGTGTCAAAAGTTGTCTCAAATGTCGTTTGATCATCTATTTGTACCTTGTAACGAAAATAGCGAGTAGACGTCTATCGACTGCGCTGGAAGAAAGCGCTCCGAGTTGCTATCGCTGCGGAAGAGTAAGTGCATTCTATGGCTTCGCAGACAACGGGTCCTGTGGGGCAAGTTTCAATTTCATGTCCCTACACAACTATCCCTCCCAACCAACTCTAACGGCCGCAATAGGTGAGGTTTGCGCTTACGTAGCGTTGGTCATATCGCTCCGAAGAGAAATGAACTACCGTAAAAAAAACTGCAAATTTTGACAAGCACTTGTATGTTTGAACATTCAGTCTGAATCCCCAGTAGTTCGAGTACTTTTAATTCCTAATTTGTGTCTATAAAGTGGTATCGGTTCGTGTCGCAAATGGTCATACCAACTTCTGTGGTTCGGTACAATTCGCATGTAAATGAGACGAACTCTCGAACCAGCCGATGGGAGCTACATAATAAAACACTCTTGTCTAGTGGTAAGCCGTACTTAAACGACCGCGTATGGCCAATACATTATAAATAAAGCTTGTTGTCCCAACTAACACGGGGAGAACATGAGGTAATTTGGTCTTCGTTCAAAGCATCGTCATGTCGTTTGCAGTCACACGGTGTATAGCACTTTGGTAAGCAATCCTGCTGACCGTAGTACACGGTAAAAGGCACGCATTGGATATTGAAAGCTTATTCAACGGTTCGTTGAAACTTTGTTGTAATCAGCTAGTACGTACGTGCTGTGAGTATGCCCGAGCACGAGCGATTGTATGCCAACCTAATGACTTATCACCGGAAACCAACATTCATATACTGAGATGCTGTCGACGGTACACATGCGGGTGGGTTGTCGCCAGCTGGGTGCCACTGAGTTGGAGCTCACACAGGGTTTTGGAAATCCTTCACAGACAGAATCCCTGGCTGGGGCACTTCCGACCACCCTCTCGGACACAGCTCAAAGTAGGTTTGATGGGTCTTGAGATAGGCCCAAATCAGTCATCATGGAATACACGCTAGTCACTCGGTGAATAAGACCCCCAACGCTTCCTTATATACAGATTCCATTTCAACCCCATTGTATAAGGTTTCTACACACCATTCTGAAGAGTGATCACATAGTGTCCATGCGACACTTTCGTGCCTTCACTTCTGAAGTGTGCAAAACGTTTCCAGGCGAAGACATGGAAATGCTTTACCTGGATATCTCCTGGGGCAGTTTTTGTGGAACGCTGGGGTATGGTATATACGAGAGTTGCGAAGGGGCGTTCATCAGGAAGAGCCGTGGATTCTTTAGGAATACTGCTATAGGTACATAATGTCAAAGTGTACTAACTGCCTCCTTATGTGTGTAAGGAAGAGTGGAGTACTGGGTTAAAAGGGAGTTACCTCACCGAAGTAGGCCAATCTGAACATATCGGACTGCTGCTTGCGGCTGAGCGATTCTAAAAACTTGCGCATATGTTCACGTTCAACGTTTTTCTTTGACCAATTTATATAGATGACTGAAGTACCGTGGTTATTGCCAGATACTCTGTAGAAACCAAACATGAGCATAGGTGATGGTGATGGTGGTAGTTATGGTGGACGGTTTAGGTGTAAGACTAAGAATCAGAACTGTGAATTAACCGTTTGTTAAATAACTCTCACTGAGGGAGTTGACCAAATCGCTAAATTCTGGCCTTAACTGGATCTGGAGTGAATGAACTCCCACCTAAAAGCTGATAGGCTAGTTAGTACTTTAATCAATTCCACTCCGGAAGACGTTTCATAGTTTCCGCAATCTAACTTTATTACTTACGATCCGACTGATAACCGAAAGGATGAGGCACCTAGTTTGCAATTCGAAGTTCAAGGGTTCCAATGTGCTTACGTGGTCCGCGCTCAACTGGTGTGAGTCACACTGCAGCGAATCGTCCGTACAGTGTGCCGGCGTGCTATCGGGCTTTTTTATCCTTTCTTCGTCAAGAAATTACTAGGGCAGGCTGGTAAATTATTCAACCGCTTGAGTGGAACGCAAGGCCAATTTCGTAGTACTCTGGTTTTGAGCGACAATGGTCTTCTGTACGAAATAACTTCGAGACCTTACACTGTTACTCAATCACCAACGAACCAGCGCGAAATTAGCAGTTGATTAATCCATCGCCATTCTTCGCAAGAGCGTTTCTCTGAACTCGCTTATGAACCTTAGACAGAAAGAAGGTACCAGCAACATATCAGCACTTTGCTCTGATTCTTAGGTGCAATGCAACCGTAAGCAGGTGTATGCCCGCTGAGCAACCGCCAGGGTGCCAGAAACATACTCCAGAGAAGACTCGAACCCGGGTGTACATATGTTGTAAACGATACGTTTCAAGCACCACCCTGCGGATCCAGTTAAGCAAGAGTGAGCCGAAGAAATACACTTTAACTGTGGCAGTAGTTGAGAGCGAATGACTTAGTTGGTCTCTCAAATTCGTGCGTTGTATGTGAGCTCCCACCGGCAAAACGAGTAGTGACTGTTGGCAAAGGGTCTTAGTAGCCCTGTGACGTTCCCGGAAGAGGTGGATTCAGTTACAGCATCTGAGTTAGTATTTGCAATCTAGCAACAACGCATTTCGTACTTAACCGCAAGACGATGGCTTAAAGTGCTAACTCTCAGCCTTTCTGCAGCTGGTAACTACAAGCGTCCATTCAGCAGTACACTTAATCGTCATCATATGATTGTCTTTCTTCAGAAAATGTCGCATGGTTGCAAGGTGTACTCAGCGAGAGACAACATGCAGTTGAATCTTATCCCTCCCACTACGTCTCTACATACGCATTTAGGAAGATATCGAGTTATCCCATCAGAGCGACTGGAAGCAAACAGTCGCAAAACTCAAACCGGAGTGTTAGTGATTTGTGAACCGAAATAAAATGCACCAGTCAAATTCAGTCTCTGTAGAGTCCACATTCGCTGCTTGACCTTGAATGCAACCCCAGCTCCCGGTGTCGAAGGTGCGCTCGGCGGAATACCAGGCCACATCACCCGCTTACAATTTTTACCTCATTTCTAATGCATGTACGAACTTACTACCCTGTGGATGTGGCCGTCTCCTGGGACAAATACACAAGTAGCGAAAGAAAATGGTACGTATCTAACCCGTCCGGGTTAGATATTACAACTCTTGGTGCCAAACAAAATATACTTAGGCGTGTGTCCCCAGAGAATCGTGAAAATTTCGAAGATCGAAACACGACTCCACAGAACTCACTTGGCTGCCGGTGATGCTTCCACTAATGGCCTCATGCGACAATCGCAGTGCCATTTGTTCGCATTCAGTCGAACAGAGTAAAGTTTTTCTATCTCCAATCTTTCGGCTATTACATCCCAAGGAAGAGTGGTCAACTCGTTACCAGTTAAATCCAACACACTGATGTGACCCAAAACTTCTTCAAAATTATCCGGCAAACTAGTCAGTCCAGTCCGGGTCAGCTGCAGACGCTCCAGTTTCTTCAGATTTGATAGATAACTGATATCTCCAACAGGATGTTCCGTAACTCGAAGGTTCACAAGAGTATCTTCAAGTTCACCCAGTGCATATTTATCCAACTGAAACGTCCCATTCACATTGTTCAATGTGAGTCGTGTCAAGTCGCCACTTGAAAATCTAGCAAAAAAATGTTCTGCCATATAAGTGATATGGGACTGCTGGATCTGAATTGATTTCATAGAATACTTCCCTGCAGATGCAGATTTGGGTATTTCCAGTGGCCCATGATATCCTATTAAAATCATGTCTGTTCCCATGCCAATTTCGCCCAGCATTTTTGCATCTGGGAAAGTGTATCGACACATTAGAAGGACTGCGTGCTTCGTGCACAGTGAGTCGGTGCGATTGACCACGAAAAGTAAGATCAGGGCGAAAGCGGTTAGACGATGTTTTAACATGGTATTCCAGCCAATTGGGAACATTCTGAACACGGTCTTCAATTCCGGAATGTTTGTCCACCGGAGCACCGGCTTCTCTCCACAGGCCAGAGAGCACTTAGCACGCGATAGCGTGAACCAGGTGACCGCTGAGGTAATGAACGCTACAATTGTGCTCAGGTTTTCGGAATCTGGAATATGTTGCACCATGCGTGTCTGCACCACGTGTACTGGTCCAATGTCACTCACACGCACGCACCTAAGCAAGCGTACCACACACGAAATATGACCAGTGGCTGCGATCGGCAAAGGAGCAGCTCAAAATGAGCCAATCAGGGAGCAATTAATCTACAAGCCCACTGCATCCGTCCCAGCAACACTGACGCACACGCGGCATGACGTTCGGGGCGTGAAACACTGTGGTAGAAGGCACCTTGGCTGGTTATGGAACGGCAAGTATCCGTGACGCACCCAACGACGAATATGGCGGCAGGTGGTTGCCAAGTCTGCTGGTTTTCATGCTACAGACGCCAAAGTCAACTCACCAAGGTCACTGGTAGCAAACCAAGTAGTCGGTAAAGGTGGAGAAAAAGCACCTGAGCGCTACGATCAATAACCAGCTCAAGCGATCAGTGTGGCGCGCATACACCTAGTATCGCCATTGAAGTCAAGAAATTGCATTACCCACTCTTGGCGAGTGAATATTATGCTAGATCAGTGCGCTACAAGGTGTACACTAGGTGAACCCCGTCCACAAATGTAGGGTAGACGAGTGATCCAACCGTGATGACACCGTTTCAGTGAGGGCCGTAGGAACAGCTCGCCTGCTTTCGCGCGTAGTGGGCATGAGTTTTAAGTCGGCCAATGCAGTTGAAAACTTGGTCATTATTCTTGATAAACTGCGACAGTTTTTACAGCAGCCTTGAACTACCACCTATGTGCTAGTTAAAACATACTTTCACTTGTGACAAGAAGTCGTAACTCTTGGATGATCACTTGTATATACATCCGGTAACAGAAACGGCACACACCAATGTCGTAGGGGAACTTTGTCCAATTTACAGAGTAGAGGTTTGGCATTATGAGTCTTCATACGGTCTTGGAGGGACGAAAAGGATATAACCGAAAGGTAGAGTAGTCCACCGCTTCCCGCATATTTATTCGTTGCACAACACCCCAAGCGCAGTTCCTCACTCTCCGGCGGGTTATTATATTTGGTTTGGTAAATTAACTGAAACAGTTTGGAAAGCATGCTCTTCGATCTTGTAGACCATTTGTGCTCTCAGGTGAATAGTAAGTGTGGCGTAGATCGTGCGTAGATTTTTTGCAAGTGGACTGAGGACAGCGAACCTCGCTGTCACCAAACGATGCTGCGAAAAGCAAGGTGTCGCTTCACTATACCGGCTAGAAGCTCAGTGAGTAGACTGCTTTTTGAATGAAATAAACCATTCTGAAACAAACAACCAGGCCATGTGATACCTCGTGACAAACTACAAAACAATCATAAAGTACTGCACGTCACTTATTAGGGCAGTAAAGTACGAAGGGCAGGAAAACATGGTACTCAATTTTGCGAGCAATAACAAACTGCCATACAGGTATGTGAACGATAAAAGAAAGGTTAAACCTGGAATACCACCACTCAAGACAGCCAGTGGCTTAACGACTATTACTGTGGATACCACGAACGTTCTACTCCCGCAGTTTGTCTCGGTGGCTACAAATACTGTGGAAAATTCTCTCTGTCAACGCCCAACAAATGCCGTCGGATTATCCAGTGTCACCTTTACTCCAGAGGCTGTCGTGAACAAATTACAGTATCTCCGGGAAAACATTGCCTCGGAAATTGACAAGATCTGTCTAAAGATAATTAAAACTTACTCCACCATACAGGTACATCTTGCAGTGTTTTTCCAGAGTCTGTTTTACTCCCATACACTCCCATCTGAGTGGAAACGTGGAATCGTCACTCCGATATACAAAGGAGGTAAGAGATCGAATCCTGCCAACAACCGACCTATTACTCTCCTACCTGTTTTATCAAAAGCGATGGAATCGGTAATCGCAGAGGAACTGACGCGATATTTTGAGTCTGAAAATAATTTTCTATGTGCAATATGATTTCAGAATTAGAGTATCTTGTCTCATCAACTTGCTCCTTGACTGAGATTCATGGACCAGAGCAGCTGATGAAGGTATTCCCATAGATATGATTTACCTAGCTTTTCTAAGTCGTCCTACCGGATCAATCAGTTCGCTCTCCTCCAAAAACTTGCTGCCTATGTACTAACGGCTCCCTGTTCACATGGTTGGAGGATTACCTACATGACGGAACAATCAAAGTAAGAATAGCCAACATTCACTTCGAAAGCCTGTGCGTATTTGGTGGTGTACCGTAAAGATCCGTCCTGGGTCTGCCACTGCTTTTAGTTTGCATAAATGACCTCCCAGAAAACATTTTATCCCCGATGCAGATGATGCTAAAAGATGGAGAGCAATTCGCTCAGCATCCGACCGTGCTTACCTCCAGAACCATCTGGACCGGATTAACGAATGGGCTGAAAGTAACCAGCTCCTGTTGAACACTGCACAGTGCCACCTGCTGACGGTACGTAACAGCTTTTACAACGCATATCTTCTGGGACAGCACGGTTTTCCACAGCTGACTAGTGAACGAGACTTAGGGATCATCGTTCAAAAAAGTCTTGGCAATTCGCTCGAGTGCTCGAAAGCAGCGAATGTGGCGAACTTGAACATGAGACTTTGGAGGCGAGCTCTCCGCACATTTGAGCGATGGCTAGTACCCCCATTGATCAACACATTTCTTCGTCTCCATGTTGAATATGAGCTTTAAACCTGTTGTCTATTGGTTAAAACGAGATATTGGTCCTTTGGAGCAACCCAAAATAAGGGCTACCAAACCGACATATGGACTATCCATTCTTAGTTACGAACTGCGCCTTCGTTTTGTTGGTGTCTTCTCCTCAGAATACCGACGGTTTCGCGGAGATCTCATTCTCTTATACAGGATAATAACTGTAAGCGAGCACCCATATGCATCATTGCTGACCCTAGCCCCTTATAAACAATGTCGAGGCTATCCACTGAAACTAGTAATGTAACACTCCCTTTTAGATTGTAGAAAGTATTCTTAGTCTTTTAGAATCTGCTCACATTGGAATGCACTACTAATACATATGGTGAATGCACCAGACATTGCGACATTCAAGAGACTGCTAGACTTTCATCCTTGTGCTAAACGCTACACAACAGTGTGATCGTGACATCTTTACTAGATGCCTCACGTTCCACTTCGGAACAGTTTTGATTGCAGCAGATTTTATTGTGCATTTGTTATCCTGTTGGTCCTGTAAAGTTATGCTTTTTATCCCATCAGACACCATAGAGCATATTGAACTTGCCACATGCACCTTATGCAACACCTTCGGATCCAGCTTAAGGAGGACACGATTCAACTGATCTCTGTTGCGAGAGAGTAACAACAGCTGCTAAACTGGATGAGTCTGACCAGTAGGTGTGACGCACTTCATCCTACTATGTATCTTTTATCTCTAAGATCAATGAGGTCGTGCTGCTAGGGAGTCCCTAGGGGACGGAATGTTGGTCCGGTCTTTTTCCGGACGTACGCGGAGCTATCTGACTTGAAACGTGCCGCGACGAACCTAGTATAACAGTGCAGTATCTGCTTACAGGATGCATACCAACGTATAGACGTTCAGCATCTTAAGATTTGCTTGGAACCGATCAAGATTAAATGAATTCAGAAGGGTTTCTAAACAGCCACTTAGTATAGCTGGATGATCCGTTGTGACACACAAGCTTCGTCATGTCATGTGAACCAGTGGATGATTGGCGTAGCCTTGGTGGCAAACTGGGACCATATTCGCGACAAACGGGATGTAAGCGGGCGGGTAATCACCTCACAGGTCAAAGTGTCATTTCAAGTGGTACATCGGACAGCCCCAACTGGTCCGCTTTGCAAGGTCACACACGCAAGTCCCTAGCAGTGGAGGGGTTAGCGGTGGTTTGATGCTCGCACTCTGCCCCAGAGACGTCCAGCCACGTTCCTCAGAATGGCCTGGTTAAGATAGGCCGCTAGACATCCTATAACTCCACCCCAGACAATCTCTTTACATAGTTGTTAGCTGTGGTTATTTCTAACGATTAGACAGTCAGGTTTGCGGTCTTTATCGCAAACCCGTCTTAATGATTTCGATACTATTTAAGTCCACTTCGTTCCCTGTGCCTAACGAATGCATCGCGACTACCGAATCTCTTAATAAAGCCCTGTATTCAAGCTCGTTCCTCGGTGGCCGTGGCATGAGTCTGTCGAGTTCTGCTAATCTCGTGCGCAGTTCTCTATCAGTTTGGCCTATGTACACCTGTGTACATAACTTGCAGGTAATTTTGTAGACGCAGTTGGTCGTCCTATCTGCTGGGAGTGAGACTTTCAAACGCACCAGGGTCCAACAGAGCATGTAATCCTTCCGGAAAATCACTCTTATTTTCCTCTGTTTAATACTCTTTGGGTGGTCACTGAAGTTCTTTATTTACAAGAAATCCCTAAAGCTCCAATCCACTTCGTGATACGCGGTGGATGTTGGTCTCGAAACTTTTGCGACTGACATTTCACTAATTATCTCGGGTATCCACTATCTAGCAACTGGTTCAATTGCGACTTCCGAGCGGCATTTTTATCCTCACCCTCTGTGCGCAGGGTCTGGGCTCTGTTAAACAAAAATGAGGCGATTCCGCCATATATGTCCTTTGGGTGACCTGAATCATAGTAGAGCACTCAAGCTGTGTTCATCGGTTTACGGAATATTTTTGTTTATGGGTTTCACCCATTCTAATGCACTAAACAGCCAAGGAATGTCAACATACAATCGCAAGCTCCCAATTCCATTGTGAAGTGTATAGCCTCATTCAGGTTCAATAGGTTTAGAAATTCCTCTTTCGCATCTAGTTAGAATAGCAATAATTTGTTACCCACGTGACGCTACCAAGTTTCCGCTTCGATAATACAGTTGCACAATGCCCACCATTCAAAAGCTTCTAGTGCGAAATTGCCACCGTGAGGGAACATTGGTGACCTCATGGCACGACTCTGTTCCTGCGTGTGAGGCCGAGATTGGAAAGTGAAAAAACTACTGAGGCACAATGTCATTCTCATGGTTATTAGATCTACCGTAGACCTCGTCCATCCTCTGTTAAACGATGTCTCGTTACCTCCAACACTTTACCTTTTGGTACGTTGATGAAAAGCGATGTTAACTCGAAACTGACTATCATTTCATTTGACTCAGTGGAAAGAATTGTTTGCTTTTGTGCGAACTCAAATAATTCTTTATCAACGTATTTTGTCCTCTCAACAGTTGAAATAGGCTAGACATATATATAGCTAGTTTGTCCTTCGGTGAATGTAAACCCTTTATATTAGATA